CTTCTGAATGAGGTCACACTGTGATGGATAAGCCAAAGAATTGTAGGCAGTAACTAATATGAGAACAAATTTTCATTTGGTTTCAAACATTATCCCAATATACTTATGGGCTGGTCTAGGATAAGTCTAAGAAACGTGCATACACATTTCTTCTGCATACACTCCCCATCTCAGTAAGGAATCCCTTAAGACAAAAATGAAATCACTAGAAAAGATGCAACTGTGCCTGCCTCGCCTGTGAAGGCTCTATTTTTAATTTAATTTTATTTTATTTATGTTTATGAGTGTATTGCCTGCATGTAGGTAGGTGCACCCTTGTCATACAATACCCATGGGTGGAGGTCAGAAGAGGGTGTCAGCTCCCCTGGAACTAGAGTTACAGGCATTGTTAGCAGCTGTGTGAGAGCTGGGAATCAAACCCAGGTCCTCTCCAAGAGCAGTCAGTGCTCTTAACTGCAGAGCCATCTCTCCAGCTCAAACTCTATTTTTTAATATTTATTTATCTTATAGTGTGGAGGGGGGCAGTGTATGCATGTGGGTTTGCATGCTACAGCAGGGGTGTGGAGCTCAGAGTATAATCTGAGTCAGTTCTCTCTTTCCACCATATGGCTCTCTGGGAACAAATTTAGGTGGTTGGGCTTGGAGGCAGGCACATTTACCCACCAACCATACTTTTGGCCTGAGGTTGTACTGTTCAAAAATAAATTTGACAATAGGAAAAAACAAACTAGGAAGAATATTTTGTTCCTTGGGGAACTGTACCTAATACATATTCTATCAATAATCATGTTAAATATCAGAGTCATAAACTTTTTAAGCCTATAAATTGTGCTTACTAATGGTGATGTGATTTCATTAACACTTTGATGAGCTGGGGCTGGAGCTCAGGGCTCCATGTAGATGCACGGCTGACATGCTAGAGACCAGGGGTTTAAGATCCTCAGCACCAAAAAATTTGGAAAAAAAAAAAAAGAGCATTCTGATAAATACAAGAAAACCAAGCACATCAACTTTACCACAAAATTAAAACAGAATAGACCCAGCTTCTTCCCCTCAGCCTGTAGCTGTATATGCGTACTACTTGACTATTCATAGTTATTTAGTAGACAGTAGCAGAAACTTTCTGGGGAAATAACCAAGATGCACTTTGTGAATGAAAACCTGCCCATGTGCTTCCCACTCAAATGTCTTCAGCCCACAGTACTCTTAACATGCTTACAGTGATCCTACAGGTGATTCTGCCCTTACTCTAAGATTACTGTGTGTGCCTTTCAAGATAAAGATGAATAATTGCACTGGTGTCCCTGGGATCTTTGATTGTCAGCCTGCCAGAAAGAAAGAAACAGACTGAAGATGGTTGAGCCCAAATAAAAACCCGGTGGCCCTGCATTTGAATAGGAAGTTTCTGTTTGAACCTCACAGTGAGCTTACATACAAACTATGTACATAGCATATACTGACTATATATTCTAGATCTGCCATCCCAAGGGCCAAGAAACAAAGGCCAGCCTGTAATAATGAGGTAACACAGGTATGCTCCATTGGCTACTTTAGGAATAGAGGGTCTTTTGAGAATGTCTGAATCCAGGTCAACAGGAGGATGTGGACCAGAGCCGGAAGCAACAGCAATACTTAGAAGCAGGGAAGCTTTCCAAAACAACTGTTGGGCATCAAAAGGATGCAAAGCCACTCTGAGGAGGTTCCTATAGGCCAAAATAGCACATTCTAAGCATAAGGTATGGTTTTTAATAAGTTGGAATATCACAATTTAAATATATTTAACTATTAGTATATAAATATGAGCAATTGTAGACATATAGGTCAATTTGCAGGATGCCAAGAAACTAATGCATCAAGACCAGTCAGTAAGACACTGGTAGTGTGTGCTGCCTCCTGGTAACAAAATGAGGGCAAGTTTCTCTTCATGAAGTATACCAGCCAGTAAATCAAAGGATATGGGGCTGGAGAGATGGCTCAGCAGTTAACAGCACTGGCTGCTCTTGCAGAGGACCCGGGTTTGATTCCCAGCACCCACAAGGCAGTTAACAAGTAACTCTAGCTCCTGGGGCTCTGACATCTTTTTTTGACCTCCAAGGGCATTGCATGACATGGGTGCACTTACATACATGCAGGTA